GGTGAAAGATCTGTATGACAAGAACTTTCAGTGTTTAAAGAAAGAAATTAAAGAAGATACCAGAAAATGGAAAGATCCCCCATGCTCTTGGATAGGCAGGATCAACATAGTAAAAATGGCAATCTTACCAAAAGCGATCTACAGATGCAATGCAATCCCTATGGAAATCCCAGCACAATTCTTCACAGACCTTGAAAGGACAATTCTCAACTTTATATGGAAAAGCAAAATACCCAGAATAGCTAAAACAACCCTGTACAATAAAGGAACTTCAGGAGGCATCACCATCCATGACTTCAAGGTCTACTATAGAGCTATAGTAATAAAACCAGCTTGGTAATGGCACAAAAACAGGTAGGTAGACCTATGGAATCGAAGTGAAAATCCTGATATGGATCCACACACCTATGAACACCTTTTGACAAAGAAGCTAAAACTATACAATGGAGAATAAGAAAGCATCTTCAACAAATGGTGCTGGCATAACTGGATGCTGGCATGTAGAAGACTGCAGATAGATCCATATCTATCACCATGCACAAAACTTAAGTTCAAATGGATCAAAGACTTCAATATAAATCTAGCCACACTAAACCTCTTAGAAGAGAAAGTGGGAAGTACCCTTGAACGAATTGGTACAGGAGACTGCTTCCTGAACATAACACCAGTAGCACAGACACTGAGATTGACAATTAATAAATGGGACCTCCTGAAACTGAGAAGCTTCTGTAAGGCAAAGGATACAATCAACAAGACAAAAACGGCAGCCCACAGAATGGGAAATGATCACCAACCTCACATCTGATAGAGGGCTGATCTCCAAATTTTACAAAGAACTCAAGAAGCAAGTCTCCAAAACACCAAATAATCCAATTAAAAAGTAGGGTACAGAACTAGACAGAGAATTCTCAATAGAGGAGTGTAAAATGGCCAATAGACACTTAAGAAATTGCTCAACATCCTTAGCCATCAGGGAAATGCAAATCAAAGCAGTTTTGAGACACCATCTCACTTCTGTCAAAATGGCTAAAATCAAAAACACCAATGACAGTTTATGCTGGAAAGGATGTGGAGAAAGGGGAACACTCCTCCATTGTTGGTGGAAGTGATATTTGAACAGCCACTTTGGAGATCAGTATGGAGATTCCTCAGGAAAATGGAAAGCAGTCTCCCACAAAATCCAGCAATTCCACTCTTAGGCATATACCCAAAATATGCACATTCATACAAAAAGGATATCTGTTCAGCTATGTTCATAGCAGCATTATTTTATAGCCAGAATCTGGAAGCAACCTAGATGCCCCTCAACTGAAGAGTGGATAGAGAAAAGGTAGTACATTTACACAATGTAGTATTACTCAGCGGGGAAAAAATGGAATCTTGAAATTCGCAAGCAAATGGATGGCACTAAAAGAAACCATCCTGAGTGAGGTAACCCAGTCACAAAAAGACAAACATGGTATGTACTCACTCATATATGGATTTTAGACATGGAGCAGGAGATTGCCGACCTACAATCCCACAGCCAACGAGTCCAGCAAACAGGGAGGACATTAAGAGAGATATGTGTGGTATCCCGGAAAAGGGGGAATGGGACAGATTCTCCTGAGAAGATTGGGAATGTGGGGGAGGGGAAGGGAGAGGAAGCTGGAAGAAAGAGAGGGGGAGGAGGAGAGAGAAGGACATATGGGAGTAGGAAGGTTGAGTGAGGGGAAGAATAGAGGAGAGCAGGATGAGAAGTACCATAATAGCAAGCTTGTTTCTAATTTAAATAAAAAAGGTAATTTTAAAAAAAGAAAAGAGAAAAAAGAAATTAACAATAACAACAACTGCATACCAAAGGAAACAACAGTTGAAGAGATAATCTATGTAATGTAAGAGACTATTTTCTTAACTATATCTTTGTGAGCAAAATTAATATCTAGGAAATAAAGAAGACTAAAAATATTAATACAGCCGGGCAGTGGTGGCGCTCGCCTTTAATCCCAGCATTCGGGAGGCAGAGGCAGGCAGATCTCTGTGAGTTCGAGGCCGGGCTGGACCGATAGCCTCCAAAACAATACTCGTAAAAAAAATACTAAATACAACAAAACCAAACAATTCCATAAATAAACAGGTGAATAAGCAATCCGTTATGCATAGATGATATTCAAGGGATCAATAAACATGAAAAAATACTTGATTTTCTTAGCCATCAGAGAAATGCAAACGAAAATGACATTGAAATTTAGTCTCACTGTAGTCAGAATGGCCACCATTAAGGGCAAAAATAACAACAAGTGTAGGAAAAAATATAGGAAAAGGAAAACACTCATGCATTGTTGATGGGAATGTATATTAGTCCAAGGACTAGGAAAATCAGTGTGCAAGTTCCTTAAATAACTCTATCATATGAACATCCATAATGGACCTGAGTATATTGTTGAAGGACTATAAGACAATGTACTACATAAATACTTATATAATCATGTATATGGCTGCAAAAGTCACAATATTTAAGTTATTGAATAAGTATAGGTTTCTATCAATAGATAAATGAATAAACAAAATGTGGCATATATAGACAATGAAGTTTTATTCATTCATAGAGATAAATGAAATTATTCGACTTGCAGGAAAATGAATATAAATGACTGTCGATATACTGAACAAATACATTCAGGTTGTGAAAGAAAACATCACCTTTTCTAGATGTGGATGTATTATTCTGAGCAACTGAGCCTAGGTCTTTCTTGACCTCTTCTGACCAAGGACAGTGGCCATGGCCTGCCATCTCCCACTGTGGTTGATACCCTGTTCCAAACATTTGGCGTGAAGCCCAATCTAGCATGTATGTGTCCACCAGTGACAGCCAAGTCCCCAGCAAACAGGGATTTGATTTAATTGCTCCTTCTGGGCCCATTTAAAGAAATGTCCCTAAACATCCCTCCCAAGTGTTTTCCATGGACAAGGACAAGTTTTGCTAAAGATGAGCCTAAAATTCTTGGCGATACAAACTTAAATAGAGCAACAAAAATCTCCATCTGCCTGTCACAGTTACTCAGTTCCACCATGCTGCCAATTTCATCTGTGGCTGACAGAGAGAAAGTCACACATACAATGTGTCAGCTGCACAAAGGTGACATTTTGTCAAGGTAAGTATTAGTATCTCAAGGATCATTTGTTCCATGGGGTGACATAAAACAGTGGGGGAAAGTTTGACTTGTAACCCTGCCTGCTTAGTATTAGTGAATGACATAAAAACAGCCCATGTTTATTTAACCAAATGTATTTAGTTATGTATCACCAGTAACATGGAATTATTTTTTCCTAGTTAGTATTACTGTTTGATCCATTAATGTGATGACAATGATGAGAATGAGATTCCAAATGTGGCTGAGTTTAAGGTTTGTATGTCACATCACAGCCATAAAAACACCCATGTTAGTTGTTGATGGGTACTTGCTTTTTTGGACCCTTTTTAAACATTGTTAGGGTTCATGTAGGTTTGTGTTTCATGGCAATTATTTCTGGGCTGGAATCTAAAAGCTTGGTACTTAACACTAGCCTTGTCCATTAATGCTCCATGACTTGGGCAAGCCATTTAGAGTGACCTTATAGATAGCCTGAAAAAGTCGTTTTTATTTTAAGCTAAATACATGAAATTTTAGCATGTTCTGATTTTAGTTCTCTGTTCTTAAAATACACTTAAAGTATGATCGTGTTTCTTCATATATAATAAAAGTACATTGGCTGTGCTCGTGGCTGTGACTGTGTCTGTGGCCACAGCTATGACTATGTCAGTGTGTGGCCATGGCCATGGCTACGACTGTGTCTGTACATATGTCTGTGTCTGTGTGTGTGTCTATGGCTACAGCTGTGACAATGTCTGTGTCTGTGGCCATGATCATGGCTATGGCCGTGCCATGGCTTTGTCTATGTCTGTGTCTGTATCCACAATATGTCCATGTTTGTGCTCGTGCCCATGGCCCTGACCATGCCCATTGCTGTGTCTGTATCTGTGTCTTTGTCTGTGCCTGTGTTTTTGACAGCTATGACAGGTGAGAAGAGTCTGCAGAGGAGATGCTTCCTCTGTACTTCCTGGGAGTCTTTGCTGTCAACACTGAGGAGTTTCTGAATCATTGGAAGGAGCTCTTATGATACACCTGCCTTTCAGAAAAGCTACTTTACAGAAAAATCAGAAAACACATTAGCAAAAACATTGAAATGAAAACCAATCCTGAACTATTATGTATGTTATTTTGCCTCCAGATGCATACACTAAATGCCTTATCATTAATTTTTGTGCTTTAATTCTCAATGGTTGTGCATATCTTTTAAAAATTTTCCAAAGTATTTTAAAAGTAAGAGGCTGTCAGTGCCTCATTTTGAGACATATCCAGCAACACAGTGATAAACTCAATAAACTCAGCTTGAAGAGTATAAGTGGCTTTGTAATTCTAAGTCCTAAATTATTTTGCTGAGAGGATTTTTTTATTTTACCCAAGAAATATTTCAGAAAGGAAATTATCACTCAAATTCAAAACTCGTGTGTGTGTGTGTGTGTGTTCTGGTGCACTTGTGTGTGTATATAGCTGTGTCCAGATGCATATGGAAGCCACAGACAAGTTTGGACACTATTTCTCAAGCCCCACTCTTCCTAATTTTTTGAGGCCATGTGAATGCTAAGTCAGTCAACTTCCTAAGTTCATCAAGATCTGGATGACAGACTAGAGCTTTGGTTTAATTTGTTTCTCTTTGACTGAGGCTGGTTGAGAATTAATGAGCCTAAGTGGTAACTTGGTAACTTGCACTTATTTTTTGTGATGAATGATCACACTTTGTCTATGTAGCAGTAGGCTGTTGTATTAGTATATCACAAGAAATCTGTATGTTATCATTAATTCATGTCATGTTGTCAGGAATGAATGAAGAATGACAAAGACCTTCGTTAAGAAAACTTCTCCCTCTTTTTCTAGCCCTGAGATCCTATGAAAACATGGGTCGATAATCATCTAATAGTCTCTGATAGCCTTGTCAGTCAAGGAAGATGAGAAACCAGACCCTGGTGACAGAGTTCCTCCTTCAGGGCTTCTCAGAGCACCCAGAGTACCAACTGTCCTTATTTATCTGTTTCCTTTCTCTCTACTCTGTGGCCCTCGTAGGTAATGTTCTTATCATCTTGGCCATCACCTGCAACCCTGGGCTCTACACCCCCATGTACTTTTTCTTGTTGAATTTGGCTACCATGGATATCATATGTACCTCCTCCATTATGCCAAAGACCCTGAAGGGTCTGGTGTCAGATAGGAGCCCCATCTCCTATGGTGGCTGTATGGCCCAGCTCTATTTCCTTACATGGGCTGCATCCTCAGAGTTGCTCCTTCTCACCGTCATGGCCTATGACCGGTATGCAGCTATCTGCCATCCTCTGCACTATGGCAACATGATGAACAAAGAATTTTGCAGCATGTTGGCTGCTGGAGTGTGGGCGCTCTGTGCTTGCAACACAGCCATTCACACAGGACTGATGACACGCTTGAATTTCTGTGGCCCCAATGTCATCACTCATTTCTTCTGCGAGGTACCACCTTTACTGCTTCTCTCCTGTAGCTCCACCTATGTGAACAGTGTCATGATTGTCTTGGCAGATGCTTTTTATGGCATACTGAACTTCCTGATGACCATTGTGTCCTATGGCTTCATCATCTCCAGCATCCTGAAAATGCGCACTTCAGAAGGGAAGAAGAAAGCCTTCTCTACCTGCTCTTCCCATCTCATTGTGGTGTGCATGTATTACACTGCTGTCTTCTATGCCTACATAAGCCCAGTCTCCAGCTACAATCCAGAGAAGAGCAAATTGGCTGGTGTGCTATACACCATGTTGAGTCCTACACTCAACCCTCTGATCTATACTTTGAGAAACAAGGAGGTCAAAGCAGCTCTCAGGAAACTTTTCCCTTTCCTCAAAAATTAAAATGTGATTCCCGAAGTTCTTCTCTTGGGATTGGGATTCCATGGTGGACTGGTTTCCCGTGGGCACATGATGGCCTTGTTTGTGCATGGAAGGTAAGTAAGCTAACCTTCTCCAGTCAGTGCAGTGTGTTTGTCGATGACTCAAAGCTCTGGTGCCTGACAGCGACTAATAGAAGAGTGTGCTTGAATGTGAACTCACGTAACTCTGAGCCTGAGGCTTGGGGTCTCTGGGCCTAAAACCATGGTGATATAGTACTTTATTGTCAGAGAAACAAAATCCTTTAAGAGGACGGTAGTGCCCCTGAATCTTAGTCTTACAGCTGTATTGAAATGCCTTTATTTACTTTGGATTCACAACATTCATGTGAAGATCACACTTAGAATTTGAACGATATATGTGGACCCCATAGCATTCTGAGGATTGCATGCTGTAGAATTGCTTCAGGTGACCTCGGGTCCCCAAGAAACCCACTCCTTTTGTTCTCCGTCAACTCTTCCTGTTGGAGTCCTTTAAGCTTAAAAGCCAATTTTTGATGTTGATGTAAACTATTGTTTCTGCTTTCCCATTTCTTCCCATTAACATTAGACTCAAGGTGAAACAATTTTTAAGGTTCACCTCTAGGCCTTACCTATAAAAGCTCCATCTTTATTACATGATGATGTGGCTTATGCACCTAGAATAATACCCATTGTTTCTCTCCTCTAGAATTGGTCTTGAACTCTGATTATCTGACCCAGTTGATTGCCCTGAGCTAACACAAGTGATAGGAGTCAGGTGTAGCAAAAGCATTGTAAGAAGGCAATGTTATCCTTCTATTGCTTCTGAATAAACCTGGGTGATCAAATCTGTGTCTAATGCAGAGAGATCTTGAGTCTGTTCTTGTGTTAGAAACCTTTGTAGAAAAATCTACTCTCTTTGTCATAATGACAGGAAAGATGTGAACATAGATCTTTGGGAATAAAGAAATCCACATATTGTTTGTGGTATTAGATGGAAACTATGAATAAAAGTTGATATTTGATTTAAGAGGGATGGGCTGTCCCTGGGTCTTCATTCATTTTCTCATTAGAAAGCAAATTAAAAGAATAAAACATCTCAATATTCAGCAGTTCAATCATAACTGAATTTCAAAGTTTCCTGACCAGAACAATGCAAATTCAGCAGTCACATCCCAGATCTTTTCAGGGTTGGAGATAGAGCCCTTTTTGCAGAAGTTGCTGACACCATCAACAGCCACTTGATGGCGCGCACAAGCATTTGTTTTTGTTTTATTGTTTTTTTGTTTTTAAGGGGATGAGGTTTCTCAGTGTAGTCCTTGATGTCCTGGAACACACTCTGTAGACTGGCTTCAAACTCACAGAGATCCATCTGCCTCTGCCTCCCAAGTGCTGGGATTGAAGGGGTGTGCCACCCCCACCCAGGTAAACATTTGTTCTTTTAAGTCCTCAATAAATGCTTAACAAATGAATCTTGCTCTTGCTTAACTCTTGATGTTCTCTGACGCTTTGCATTTGTTGCCTACCATTTAATCTTGTATAATAAGCTCTGGTGTTTTGCTTCTGGACCATATATCATGTCATTCTATCAACTTTGTACCTGGTTCATAGGTGCTAATGCTTTTTCTGAGCATCACCTTCCATTTTATATGCCCATAGTGTATTTGGATCACATTCACCCCTCACTCCTCCCCTTAAGTCCTTCTGTATATACCCTCCCTCCTTCTTTATTTTATCTTTGTTTTTGAGATATAATTATACCATTCCCCCCCCCATTTCTTCCCTTACCTGTACCCCTCCTTGCTTTCTTCCAAATCAATGGCCTGATGTCTCATGGAAATGCCCCTGCATAAGTCAGAGAGTCATGGCACAAGTGAAGGGGGGTAAGGGTTGGACTTTTTCTCTTATCTTACCTTCACCTTTGCCAACCACAAAAGACTGCTTTCCTAGCAAGTTACAGGCTCCCCAGTAACTCCCCCTAGGATCTATGCACAGTTTCTTTGTACCTCACATTCTGCTACACTGGAATGTGAGTGAAATACAGTGCCAGCCCCTAAGCACCTCATCATATGGTGGGAGAAATGAAGACAGCAGATCCTGTGGGACAGAATGGCAGTGTGCTAGTAAGTGTAAGAAAAAACTGTGAAATCCCGGTCGAAGAGAAGGAGAGGCAAACAGATCCATGGAAGGAGCAGCCTCTGGGAAGGCTTTGCATAAGATCTAGAGATTGAGAAGGAAAACAGAGAAAACCAGAAGGGAAGGAAATATGCCAAGGCTTTGTGGGAATGGGAAGATAAACACTTTCAGAAAAAAGCTGACTTACACGGAGGTATGACCAATGTATAGCACCTAGCCATTCTATGAAACCCTGATTAGTGTGTTGTTGAAGGATTTTGTAGATGTAATTAATTATGCATTGCCTCATTATAATTACAGTTAATTATACATTGTCTCATTATCTAGGGAGGCCCCATCCAATCCACTGAAAGGCAGGAAAAGCAGAACTGAAAGGAACGATCTAGAAGTGGCAATGCAATTTATTAAAAACAAATTAGTACTGCCTATTATTCAAGTGTAAGTTAAGGAGGGAGTGTTGACAACCCACCTTCTAGAAGTGACCAGATGGCCTTCATGGTTATTTTTTCTTGCTATTCATGGTAACATGCTGTACTTTTCTCAGCTCTGTGGGATAGCCTGCTGCACTTTTCTCAGCACTGTGGGATAGCCTGATGCACTTTTCTCAGTACAATGGGGTAGCCTGATGCACTTTTCTCAGCACTATGGGATAGCCTGCTGCACTTTTCTCAGCACTGTGGGATAGCCTGCTGCACTTTTCTCAGCACTGTGGGATAGCCTGCTGCACTTTTTAAAGGACAATGGGATAGCCTTTCTCACCTTTTCAGCAATTATTTTCCTTAAGCTTGACCCAGAAAAGGACAGCTTGACTATCACCAAATAGGCATCCACTCTTCTCCCTGGAGTCCCAGCCATGATCAGCTTCCTAAGACATCTCTGGACAAGACTTACTCCTTTCCCACCGTGGCAAGCCCACACTCTCTCTGCGAGCATGCCATCCAAGCTCCAGGCGGTCAGGCAGGTGCAGACTAGCAGTTTCCTAACCTGGCCACTACTTTCTAGAACTTTTCCCCAGTGCCACTAACCATTTCTCCCAGTTGGCCCCGGCCAATACCTGGCCCAAGAGAGAGAAGACTGCTCATCCTGTAAAGAAACTAACACTCTGTTTCTGTGATCCAGATTCCCCTGGCGTCAGCTACAGACCTCCTGCTCTAAGTTAGTGACTGCATGGGCTATGTGCGGTTTTGCCTCTGAAAACTGAATGAGGCTGTAGGTAGTGCTACACCTCAGCCCTTGTGTGGGGGCAATGAGGGACACTGAGGCAGCAGGAAGCCATAAAGATGAAAGGAATAAGAGATTTAGTAACTAATGAATGCATTAATTAATGAGGGCTAAAAGCTAGATTGCCAGGATACCTGCAGGGTAGAGATAGGGCACAGGAGCAACCCCCACCCCGCCGCCCCCGCCTGTCAGAGGTTACTGCCCCGCCAGAAAAGGATGAGGTGGAAGGTGGGGTGTCAGGGCTGGCCAGGTCAGGGGCGGAGCCTGTGCCAGAGGGCAGGGCGGGGTCCTGGGCGGGGCCTGACCCAAATTCTGGGCTAGGCGGCTGCTGACCACTGTGGCAGGGAGCTGCCGCGGGTGACAGGGTCAAGAAGCTGGTGTGCTGCCACGTTGAGCTTCGTGGGCTCCTGCACCCACGCCAGCAGCACTCATTGCCCAGCGTCATGCCCTCCTACACGGTCACTGTGGCCACCGGCAGCCAGTGGTTCGCGGGCACCGACGACTACATTTACCTCAGCCTCATTGGCTCTGCGGGCTGCAGCGAGAAGCACCTGCTGGACAAAGCTTTCTACAATGACTTCGAGCGTGGCGCGGTGAGGATGCGCGCTCGGGACCCAAAGACTGGACCCGGGGCGGGGGGGACTGGCCGCAAAGAGCCTGAGGCAGGACAGGTCTGGCAGGTGTCCAAGTGCCAGAGCCCCAATTGTGAGAGCATCTGGGACCCTGACTGAAGCGCCAGAGTCCCTGCATGTCAGGGCAAGTTAGAGTTAGGTATTGAGGAACCCTGGGCTTCCTGGGGGCGGGACCCCTTAAGAGATAATGGACTGCCAGTGTGAAGTCTGCATGGGGCTAGCTTCTTCCGTGGCAGAAGTTTCACAAATGGGACCCAGAACTTGTGAGGGGAGTTCTGAGGTCCTTGTGTCTCAGCTATTCTACTGAAAAGCATAGAAAACCCTGTTAGACAACTGTCCCTTCTGTGTAGGCAAGGGCTTCCTGTAAGACAGGGAACCAGAGCCCGGAGTTCCACTTGGACTTGATCATTCTTCTATCCCTACTGTGGACCTCGGTTTACCAAGCCGAAAATAGGCTAGGTCCAGTCTTATCCATGAGTCATGGGGAAGCCCAATCCCATTGGTGTCTGGGAATGAATCTAGGAGTTGTCCCCACACCTAGGCATCCTACATTCCCTGCATTCAGCCCTGGTGGAATTTCAAGGAAGAAAACCCCAGCCAGACACAGCAGCCTTTGGAAAACCTGTCAGCAGGGTGCTGCAAGGGGACACTTCCTCCCTGAGAATTAACCTCTCTCTTGGGGGGTGGGGAGATCCCCTTCTTTCCTCCTAATACAGATTCTGGAGTCTGGTAACTCAGGAGCCAGGGTAGCCAGGGTTCTCGCATCTGGCCCCACCCAGGCACTGTGGTAGGTCATTCATCTTGGATGCTACTGGTGTGTACATTCTAGCTCATGGCTAGCACAGACAGGTCATGGTTTTCAGGGTCCCACTACATGCCCAGTACATAAAACTTGATCAGTGAGTGACTAACAGACACACTGCAGGTACTCAAGGGTTGTCTTTTTCCTTCTTAAAATATACCCAAATTCTTAGATTTCACTAGGCTGCCTTCTTAGTTTACAGCTGAGTCAACCCACATGAAATTAACTATAATAAACACGATCGACAATTCCGTATGCTTCTACTGAATACTTCCTGGGTAAAGTTCACGTCAGATCTGTTCAACCTAAACTAAGGAAATAATAGTTAGCCCCTTTTCAGTATTCCAAACTCTAAGGAGACTTGACTTCTATCCTGAGACCTGGTAGGCAGCCAGGAATTGCAAGCTACAAACCAGGCTTGAACTCCCTTCAAGCAAAGCTGTATGTAGAGCCTGCTTGGTTTCTGCAGTCTGTGCTGCTGCATACAAAGTGTGGCATCCATTTGAGATGGTGACACCTATGGAACCTTCAAAGCACTTTTGTTTATTTTCACTCTTTTGGGGGTTCTCCTATTATCTAGGGAAAAGGAAAGAGGACAGGCTGCTTCCTTCTTACAAATGGACTGCAGGGGCCTTCTCCACAATCTATTGAAGCACAGACTATGAGTGTGCTCAGGCTATATAGCACAGCACCCACGATGGTGTGTCATTTCCCCCAAGAGAATAGCAGTGGGGCCATCGTAGATGACTAGATAGGAAGTGAGAACACTGTTCTGTTCAATATTTATGTTGTTCTGTTCAGTTTCCCAACCTGAAAAGATATTCAAGGGTCACCGCAATTAAACACCTCAGCAAGAACCCCAGAGGCAAATTTCAGGAGAGATTTGCATGCATATTTCCATGGGAGAGAAGGACCTGCAGGTCAGGGGAACTGCTGTCCTACGGCTGAATGCAAAAAGAGCCTTAACAAAAAAGAGAAAAGAAGAGAAAGGAAAGCAGCTTTTGAGAAAGTTCCTGTTGATGCAAAGTTGCTACATGCTTTGTCTTGCGTACCAGAGCTACTTCCTCATTCTGTGGCCTGTGTGTCTTCAAAAGTCCAGACCTCCCTTTTGGGTAAAGGTAGAAAAGGAACCTTAAGGGAAATGTTTGCTGAGAAGATAAGGCTGTTCCACTTAACTGAGAAAAACGTCATTGTGTTACCACGAATAACACGGAAACTGGCCACCACAAAGGTCCAAGGATGACT